CAAAAGCCAGAGTGCTCAGCTGGTGTGGACAGCACGGTAGGGGGACAGGACAGCCGTAGGAGCAGCAGCTCAGTTTGTTTTATGTTTTGTGATTTGGGAAGTGCTTTCCACATCTCCTCTTATAAAAAGTGATACCTGCTTATACTGAGGGAAGAGCAAAGCTCATAGCACAGAAATGATGGTGTCCATGCTGGCCCAGCTGAAAAGTGTTTGAGCCTTGATAATAACAGAGCCTCTAATGCCAGCAGCAGGAAAAATCAAGCAGAAATAATCACATTAGCGACAGCAGCAGCAGCTACTGTTACTGAGTACGTCCTATGTGCTGGGCTGTTTCTGTACGTTGTCACAGATCCTCACATCCGCCCTGCAAGAGAGGCCTTCGTGATCCTCATTTTCTTGATAGGGAAATGGACTTGGAGAGGGGGAGTCATTTAGCTAAAGTCACAAAGCTAGGGAGCTCCAAGATCCATCCTCCTTCTACTTGACCTTGAGGTGCTGGGCCAAGGTCAGGGCATTGGGCTTGGCTCAGTGCCTGGCAGATCTTGGAGGTGCTTGGGGATCTTTAGAAGGATGGATAGAGGGGCGAACAGCTAACTGAATGGATGAATGTGTTAGTGAATGACAAAGCTGTCAGGCCAGCAGGCAGCTGGGTGTGGTTGTGGTCTCTCTCTCCTAGACCCCAGAAATCTCCACCAGCCAACCCAACAGCAGGTCCAGCAGTGGTACCAGATCGGGAAGCCAACAGATTTCCCAGGACATCCAGCCAAGCTCTCCTGGGAGCTCAAACATTCTGGGCAAGGAGAGTGAAGGGGTGGGCAGCACCAGCCCTGTGACGATGACCACCTTGGATGGGGAGAAGGCCCAGGAGCTGGGTTCTGGGGGAGCACCAGGCAAAAAGACCCTACCCTTCAAGAGAGGTGTCAGGAGGGGTGACGTGTTGCTGATGGTGGCCAAGCTGGACCTGGACGCAGCCAAACCGGAGCAGAGGACCCCACCCCGTGATGAACTCCCTTGCAAGACCCCACCCCCAGCCACAGACCCTGGCGGGGAAAGAAAAGGGAATACCCCAGGGACTCCTAGTGGCCCCCAGGCCAGCACTGAGCATTTGGGCCCCAAAGCTGAGAAGACCCGGACTGGGGATGTTGGGGACCCAGACCAAGGATCTGCGCTGCTGACCAAAGGCAGGAAGGGTCAAGGCACAGTGGGAAAGGGGGATGGGCTCCCCCAGACCAAAGGGCCCACTGGGAGTGAGCCCCAGAGCAAAGACCAGGAAGGGACTGGGCCCGCTGAAGGGGAGCTATCAAGGGCAGCAGAGAAGGTGGGAGGGGACTTTTCAGACAATGTGGAAAAGGGGAACATCTCCAAGGGTGCCGGGAGCGAAAGGAAGCATGCCGTCCCCCAAATCCAGGTGAGAAAGTGGGGCAGTTTCCTGGGCAGAAGGAGCAAGTGGGAAGGTCTCCAGAGCAAGTCAGACAAGGAAGGCGAGCTCCCGAGTAAGGCGGAGAAGACGAGTGAGCCCCAGGGCAGGGTGAGGGAGCCTGGCAAAGAGCAGGAAGGCAGGGAGAAGGCAGGTGGGCGCCCGAGTGAGGCTGCGAAGGCAGGGGAGCCCGGTGGTGAGAAGGGCAAAGTGGGACAACTTCAGAGCAGGTCTGGGGAGGCCGGTGGAGCCCAGAGTCCAACAGGGAAAGGCTCCAGGGAGGTGGATCTAAGGAAAACGCCTTCTGGGAAGGAGGGTCAGCCTGAAAGCCCAGAGCAGAGAGCTGAGGAGCTGTGCGCCAGGACCAGGGTGGGTGATGGGGCTGGCGCCAGGGAGCTGGCGGGACCCAGGCAGCCTGCGCTGGAGAAGTGCACAGAAAGGCCTGCGAAACAGGCGGAGAACCGAGCCGGGCCTGCCCCGCAGGAGGAGGGCGCAGGGAGCCGGAGTGGAGATTCAGACCAGGTGAGGCGGCTGCAGCCGGCAGTGGGACAACATGCACCTGGCCCTCTGGAGACAGAGGGATGGAAAGGAGCTGCCTCTGGAGGTGGACTAGGGGGCCCCCCCGGGATGGAGAGGGAATTGGAGACGGGTGACTGGAGCTGGGAGGCATCCAGAGGAGAGGACAGGCACTTGTCCCTTGAGAAAGCAATGGTATCATACTCCCACTGCACGGGCCCCTGGGCGGGAGTATCCACAAGGTTAGGGAGGGCCCCCAAAATGTGAGGTGGCACTTCAAGGCCAACATGGTTAAGCTTCCTTATAATGTCATACAATAGTTTTCAAATACAGGGTGGCATAAAGAGCAGTTTGCTAAGAATACAAATTCTCAGAGCCCACCTTTGAGATTCTCGTTCAAAAGTCCAGGAGTAGGGAAGGGCCCCAGGATCTGCATTTAAGTAAGCAACCCCCCCCCCCGCCCCACCGCACACATCTCCCAGGAGACTCTGATTTAGGTGGGTCAAACCCACACTGTGGGAAAATCCCATGTAAATGGAGGTGGGGGTGGGAGGGTGTCATTTGCTGGTTTAACTTACGTGATCTCTGTTCTCAGGCTCCTGAGGACAGATGGTATGAGGCAGAGAAAGTCTGGCTGGTTCAGAAGGATGGATTTACGCTTGGTAATTAGGGGTGTTAGCACTGTCTGAGGGGCCAAGCATCTTCTCTTCTTGCACCCCTCTACTTACAAGCCAGATTTTCCAGGTCATACTTCCCGGGAAAAGGAGCAATGGAGGAGACTAGGATGGGGAGCCCTGCCTGGCTTTTTGTGGGCAAAGGGTGGGGATAGTTGATAGTCATTTCACCCTTGACAGCTGGCCTTTTGGGTGCTGTTTTCAAAGGCATTTGAACCTTGATAATTAATTAATTAATTAATTAACTAAATCACTAATGCAACAAATATCCTTGGTTTCTAGTATTCCTCCTGGAACCCAGTGTAGTGCAAGTGGGCACCTAATTTTTTCCTCATGAGCACACTTTTGTTGATTTGTTATGGCTGTGGACTACAGTCTACTTAGAAGCCATTCTGAGTCAGTAGTCAGAACACTACTGAGAGGATGAGTGATTAGTGATGTCTGTCATGGACACTGCAAGGGGAAATGGCAGTCTGTATGCCATTATCTGCCATCCTAGTTCTGGGTACGAGATGGGTCAGTGCATCTAACCTCCTAGGTGCCTACTCTGTGCCAGCTGGTAAAAGATAAGTCAGACTCAGCCCATCCCTAAAAGATTTAGGGTCACAATTTAGAAACCTCCATGTGAATAGACCCCAAGGATTGAAGATGTAGCCCTTTTCTTACATGACACAAGCCAGCTCCCTAGCCAGGCTCAGAACTTCACTCATCTCCTACCCTTACCTCCCTTCCTCTCTCTGCATTGTCCAAACAGCCACAGTGCTAAAGCCAGATGAGGGGACAGCCGACTTGCCCGCAGGAAGGGTACGGCTTTGCATCGATGCTGACAAAACAATCACTGAGGTGGATGAGGAGTATGTTCATCGGGTGAGTCCCCTATCCCTCTCTCTGTCTTCTCTTTACCCTCCTTCCCCACCCCTGCAAGAGATTTCCCTGTAGCTGACTGAAGATATCACCTTAACATAATGCAAAGAACCTCACTGAACTCATTACTCTGCTGAAGGGACATTGTTAGGAGTCATGAACTCTGTCCTGTGGTGTCTCTTTTATATGAGGACACATCGAGACACATGTTTGTCAGGTCTTGGCACTGGGAGTTCTTTGGATTGACCCAAGAAAGCGATTGTTTTTCATTTTATGAACATTGTAAACCGTGTTGCAGAGCATGTTTCCTTTTCGCTCTGGCTACCAGGGAACTCGCAACCAAATTTATTGCTTTCCATTAATCATAGCATAACTTCTTATGACCTATACTTTGGGCATCACTCTTTCTTATAGTCTCATAGTTTTGCTTTTTCAATTGTTTTGTAGACATTTTTGTTTTGTGCCATAAATCCTTTTGAGGATAAGTCAGAGTATAATGATAGAAAAAAAGGTCTTGTTGCCCCTTTTGCATCCCCAACAGCCTACAAATTGAGATATTTCCTTCCTCGCTCCTCTGCATCCTGTTTGATTCTGTACCCCCTCACACCCTCCTGTGCCACTGATGTTAGGAGTTTGCAGAGGCTGAGCGCCCTTGGAAAAAAGATTGACCCATGAGATAGCTCAAGCTTGACCTAAACCCCAGAGCACTGGGCCTAGAAAACTCCCCAAAGCTGGAAAGAACAATAGGGAGCCTTTTAGAATGAATGTCTCAAGGAGCAGATGCAAACATCCCTCGCTTCTCAAAGCATTTAGGCAGATTTCCAAGGGTGAAAGCATGATGGCCATTAGATGAATGAGGGGGTCTGGCTGGTGGCCTCCTTCCCTCGGTATCATAGAACAAACCAAGAGCTCCACCTAAGACCCAGGAAAGGAGGAAACAGCAGCGGACACTTGCGCAGAACATCACCTGTCTTTTTGTGGTGTTTGAGATACAGAAGGTGCTTTGAATTTTGCCTCATCTGCCTTGAGAGCATCTCTCTTCCTTCATGGTGCAGTGAGCGCTGGAAGGAAGGAACAGAGTGTGTGTGGGGTGCCTCGCAGACAGCACAGAGGGCGAGGAGAAGGAATAGGCCTATTTTATTTATAGGGTTTCAGCACTCCTTCTCCACAGTCACTGTGTTCTGTTTTGGTCTTTGGTGCAGTTCTCGAGGGATTGGCTCCGTGTGTGTGTGTGTGTGTGTGTGTGTGTGTGTGTGTGAACCAGAAGGCCAGAGAAGACTCTATGTGATGGTTCACAGGCCAACGCCCCCGAGCTGGACCAGGTTGAAGACCTGACTTCTCTCATCAGTGTCAATGAATCCAGTGTCCTGAACACGCTTCTGCAGCGCTACCGGGCTCAGCTGCCGCACACCCGCACGGGGCCGGATCTGATCGTCCTCCAGCCCCAGGGGGCCTCAGCTCCCTCTGCAGGGAAGGTGAGGTGGGACCATGGGGGCACAGGGGTTAAGGGAATCTCTGCATCTGAGGGGACAGCAGAACTGCCACAGCCCCTGACAGGCCTGTCTGTGAGCAGAATCCTGCCAAAGTTGAGATTCTGGGGCATCAAGGGCATCATGTGGCATTGAGTTCCATGTGATACCCACTCCCTAGAGGAGAAAGAGAAGTCTCTGTTAGGACAACAACAGCGGTGTTAAAAATAGTGATAGCAAAAGAAAGTCGTGAATGAATATGGATACCAGACACTACTGCAAGCTCCTTCACATAGTGTCTAAACTGCTTCTCACATTCACTCGAAAAACAGAGGAATTATTACTAGCCCATTTTACTGATAAGAGTGGGCTGACATCAACAGCTAAACTCCTGTTTAGCCAGCAGAGGAGCTGGGACAAAGCCCAGCCCATTGGGCCTCACTGTGCTCCTCACCCCATGCTGAGGATCTTCGAGAGTCCTGACACCCACATCAGACTCTCGGGCTCTGGTTTGAGGTCTTTTTTTCTTAAATTAAATCATAGCTGTGTACATTAATGCAATCATGGGGTACAGTGTGGTGTTTTCACATACAATTTAAAATGTTTTCATCCAACTGGTTAACAGAGCCTTCATGTCATTTTCTTGGTTATTGGGTTAAGATGTTTATATTCTACTTTTAGAAAGAATCACTTGTACCCTTGTAAGATAAACCATTCTAGGGAAGTATAGGGATGGCCAATTTTTAGCATGATAGGTGAGAGAAAAGGCAGTCTCGACACGCCGCCTTGTGGAAGGATGAGGAACCACAGCCAAGTTATTTGCTGCTCCCCAGGGGGTAGAGTGTCATGTCACCTCTTTTACGTGGTGATAATGAGGCCAGCTTTTACTCTGAGTGTGATGGCAGCTACTGGGGACTTCTAGCAGAGCAGTGGCATGGTCTGACTTGTACAAGGATCCCCTGGCTGCAGACCAGTGGCATGGTCTGACTTGTACAAGGATCCCCTGGCTGCAGACCAGTGGCATGGTCTGACTTGTACAAGGATCCCCTGGCTGCAGGGTGGAAGTGTGGTGGAAAGGGGCACCGTAGCAGCAGGGACACACTCTGGAGACAGTTCTTAGTACTCCTTGGGAAGGCACAGGCCCCTGGGATACCTGGTGCCTTGGAATGATCACGAAGCTTCTCTGGCCTTGTTTTTTTAATCTGTTAGTTGGGCATGGAAAGCCCATCTTGTCCCCTGAAGGAAGCAGTAAGGGACAAACCCAATCCTAGTCCCCCCAAAATGCTAAATTTATTAAAGAGGAGACAGTGGTCCTGTGACCTGCCCCCAACTATACATCACGACTTTTCTTCTCTGAGATAATCCACTTGACCCCCTCCAGTCATTTCTCAGGCCCAGGGGCTGGGAAGACCTCAGAAGCTCTGGACTGGCCAGTGCTCAGCACATGCCCTCTCCCCTCCTCACTGTGAGTGCTTCTGCTCCTGTTAGTTCAGCCCAGGCCATCCACACATCTGCATGATTCCTCTGGCTCCCTGGAAGTTCCAGGAAAGGTTGTTTTCTTCTGGCCCCACCAGCCAAAAGGTCTGCATCAGCCACCCTACACTGAAGTGTCAGAATACGGGCAGAAGTGCCTGAAAGTGCAGGAACTGGACCCCACCTGGCCGCCCAGGTTTCTAGTCTCCCACACTCCAACCACTGCCTTTGGCCGATTCAACCTTTTATTCCTCAAATGGCCACCAGGTGGAAGCACAGGCCTGCAATGAGGTCAGGACCAGGGCTGCTGTGAGATTGGCCTGGGTGGAGTCTGGGCAGCACCGGAGCAGGGGAGCTCTCTCCAGGGAACACCACGCCACCCTGCAGCTGGGAGCAGGGTATGTGCCTGTGGGCATGCAGGTCTTGGTGCATGTGACCTTGAGGATCTATTGCGTGCGTGTGCCCAGGAGCGCATTAAGAGTACATATACACAAAAGCAAAGGAGTATGTGCTGCACACACGCACCTAGGGGTGCCCATGGGGCTCTGGATGTGCCCTTTGGGCAGTAGGCCTGGGAAGGCTGATGGATGGGGTAGCCCATCTCCTGAATTTTAGTTTTTCCAATATGGGAGTGGCTTTAGGGTTCAGGCCCCTGAGAGCCTCCCTCTGTCTGCCTCATGCCTGAAGGCTGTGTCTAGCCAGCATGAGGGCTTGTCCCACTTTGTCTGCTTATAGAGCCCCATGTTCAGCATCAGGGTAGGGACTTCTTACTATCTCTGAGGGTCCCGGAGCAGGAAAAGCCAGCAGTGGATCAGGGGTGTCCCCAGCCCCAGCTGGAGGTCCCGGCTAGGGGAAGGTGTTGGTGCCTCTGGTTCTGCCAAGGCACAAGAGAGGGCAGATGGAGGCTTGCTGGAACTGGGGCTCACCCACTCAGCATCCAGGGCTTTGGACATCTTCCTCCAGTCAGGTCCATTCTTTGGTGTGCTTTTTTTGTTTTTGTTTTTTGTTTGTTTGTTTGTTTTTGAGACAGAGTCTCGCTATGTCACCCTTGGTAGAGTATCATGGTGTCACAGCTCACAGCAACCTCAAACTCTTGGGCTTAAGTGATTCTCTTTCCTCAGCCTCCCAAGTAGCTGGGACTACAGGCACCTGCCACAAAGCCTGGCTATTTTTTGTTGCAGTTGTCATTGTTGATTTTAGCAGGCCCAAGCTGGGTTCAAACCCTCCAGCCTTGGTGTATGTGGCTGAGCTATAGGCACTGGCCTTTGAGGTGCTCTTCCTCTGACCTCACACCTACCTTCTGCCTTCATCCCTTCTCCCTAATGGCCATCAAGGTCACCACTGACTGCCGTGATGCCAAATCCAGTGTCGGTCTATGGTCTCTGAGCCCTCAGCAGCATCCCCGCACTCCTTTTGAAAACATTTGCTTGCTGGGCTCCACAACTCAGCTCTCCCAGTTTCCCTCCTGCCCTGTTGGCCCTCCCTATCAGCCTTTTGTGTGATCTCCTAGGCCTGTCCCTATTGGGGTGCCCCAAGCCCCACACTTTTCTTCTCTAAACACCCACTTCCTTGGTGACCTCACCCAGGCACGTGGCTTTCAAATGACCACTGTTAGAGAGAATTGAAGGATGTTTCGTGTTGATCATCTCTCTCTCTCTTCCCATAGAAAGCAGGTCCTACAGAGGCTGGAACTTTCTTTCCTTTTTTTTTTTCTTAAGTCAGGTTTGTTACAGCATAATTTACGTACAGTTCAAGTCACCTTTTTACTGGACAGTTCTGTGAGTTTTGACAAAGGTGTGCAATTGCATAACTGCCACCACGAGAGGTTACAGACAGTTCCGATCACCCCCCACCCCACGCTGAAGTGCTCTGGACCTTTCCATGGTCCGCCAGTTCATCACATTCCACCCTTGGCAGCTGCTGATCTCTTTTTCCCCCCCTATAGTTTGGCCTTTTCCAAAAAATTATAAATGGAATCCTATAGCGTGTAACCTTTTTAGCTGGCTTCTTTGACTCGCCACAGTGCAATATGAGAGTCACCCATGTCGTTGTATTTATCTGTGGTCTGTTTCTTTATTTTATTAGGATGGTTTACTAGGGTATTTTATTTTACTAGTTGGCTCATTTGTTCACGGGGGGAGCAATTTTCCTGGTTTGTCTGGAACTGAAGTGTTTTCTGGGCCATGAGATGTTTGATGCTTTCACTAGGATGGTTGATCACCCTAGTTCACTCTTTGAAGTATATTTGGGTTGTTTCTATTTTCAGGAATTTTGAAAATACAGTAGAACCTCTATAAATTGACCACCCAAGGAACTGTAACAAACTGGCCAACATACAGAGGTGGCCAGCGTCAGGAACTAGGCCTGCGGCACTGATACAGACACGTGGTGCCTGTCCGATCTATGAAAGTTAGGTCAACTTGAGGTGGTCAATGTAGAGAGGCGTCGACTGTGGAGGTTCTACTGAATATTCAACATAACCAATGACATAGGAGGTTATTTTTGAATATACATTTTCATTGTGGGGAGGTAATGCCTGGAGTGAGGTTGGGGGGTTCTATTTGATGAATATATAGTTATCTGCTTGTGGTTAGCGGGGATTTCCTTTGTCTACCTGAGTAGTGATGCACCCAAGGTGCCTGCCACATAGTCAACACACGAAGAATTATTTTTACTGAGTGAAGAATTATAGAATGAATGAAGTGGATGGGGTTTCAGACATCACCTATGTCTGTTATGGTAAAGACACAGCACACATACCACAAACACCCCCACATGCCACGCAGTGTTTCCATGGCAGACATGACTAATCTACTACTCAATTTTATCTGCCTTGTTCCGGGCACATACTATCCATTGCTTTGTGTGGCTAATGAGATGAAGCTCTTGGGATGATGCAACTCTTTTTCAAGCCCCCAACTAGCTAAAGAGAAGACCCAGACTCAGAAAAGAATCACAGTTTGCTCACAGAGAGCCAGCAGCAGGACTAGACACACAGGCTGGGATCTTCTCAGTACAATACAAAGACTTTGACACAGTTGGAGTAGGATGGGAGGTGGGGACGCAGATCTGGAGGTAGGGATGTGGATCTTGCCCTTAGGCCTGGGGTGAGGCGCTGTCTTGGAATATTCCTGGGTCAATGGCTGGGTGGGAAGGCTGATGCCCCGGATGTTCCTGCAGGTGCACAGTGGCCGCCAGGATGGCCTGCCCACCCACATTGGCTCCCTGGCCCATCGGGCATACTGGGCACTGCTGAGCCAGCGGAAAGACCAGAGCATCGTGGCCCTTGGCCGGAGTGGTGCAGGGAAGACCACCTGCTGTGAACAGGTCCTGGAGCACCTGGTGGGGATGGCAGGCAGTGTGGAAGGCAGGGTCTCAGGTATGGTGGTCTCCAGGTGAGAGGCATGGGGAGCAGGAAGGGGAGTGCTGGAAGGGAGTGCTGGGCAGCCCCTTCTCATATCCACTCACTTTGCATTCACTGAGCACCACATACGTGCAGACCCTGCTCTTGCTACTATATGAGGCTTCTCTAGGTCACTGGGCACATTTATTCAAATTAGAATAAGCTACTCTTTCCTCAAGACATTGACGCCATCCTCTGAACAATCATCGTACACCAACACAGTAAGAACCAGACACTTCACTGCCATCTGCTGGCAATTCATCCTAATAAATACATAAATCTTTGATAGCGTGATGTGAGTGATGCAGGCTTTGGATGTGGTCTCTTTGTGCAGGGCACAACCTGCTGAACTGTACAGAGAGCTCATCCGGTAAAGGCAGGGCAGGGCCTATGAAGGCCAGAGGAGTACATGAACTGTGCACGTGTACTGGATGTCAACGTTCTGCAGTGTGTGCTGGCAGAGCAGGTTTGGGAAGAGGCCGAGGTGCATGGGGACTTCCTTGAGGAAGTGACACTTGAGCTGGGCCTTCAAGAAAGAGCGTCAATTAATAATAATAAGTATAATATTAGTAATGATCATAGAAACACTTGCTGAAAACTAATGTGCCCGACCCTACTCCAAGCAGGAGTAATGTACTTATTTATTATTTAAAATGGCCCATGAGGTAGATATTATTATTTGAATGTTATAGGTCGAGGGCGCTGAAGTTCAGAGATGTTAGCTAGCTTGCCCGATGCCACGTAGCAAATATATTCCAGAGCTGGGACTCAAACCCAGGCCATCTGGTTCAAGAAATATAAGAACTGAGCAGGTGTTCTCAACTTTTTTGTTCGTTATTTCTCCCCTTCAAGGAGCCTTTTAAGACATTTTTCTCCTAATCACCCCCACCATGGCATTTTACTTCCACAAATAAACCATATATTTATTTACGTAGTATATGTATCTCTGCTCTATACATAAGGTAGGTAAATTTTTTTCTCCACCACGTCTCAGAATCAGTTTTTGCCCAACTTGGGGGCAATATCTTCCCCATTGAGAATACGTGACCTAGGTAATATTGTGTTTCTAATAGTAATAAATTTAATAATAACAGCACCACGTCTGGAGCACTTGCTAAGCACTTTGCATTATTACACGTGTTAGCAATGATGATCTATGTGGTAGGTTCTCCTGCCACCCCCATGTTGCAGATGGCTATCCGAGGCATTGGGATACGAATTCTTCGGCCCCAAAGCAGGTAACTAGTCAAGGGCAGAGCCCATATTCAATCTCTCTTAATCACTGGGATATATTGCTTCTCCATCAAGAGTATTCCAGTGTTTTACTGAGCACCTACTTTATTCCTGGTCCACATTAAGAACTGGGGATATGGTGGGGAGAGGCACCAGTCTCTGTCCTCTCAGAATGGAGTTGTGCTATGAATGCACATGTTTGAGAGTGATAGTCAGGAAAGGTTGGATTCAGGTGCCTGGCATAGCGCTTATTCCATAGAAGGGACCCAATTAATGGCTGCAGAGAAGGCCATGGGGCTTTGCAAGCCTGCTTCTAAACTGTGAACTCCCTGAGTACAGGGGGATCCAGACTGTTATCACCCTCACTTTCTCCTAGGCAGTCCCTACCATCAACATTGTGCTTACCTTGGACCCTTCTATGCTGAGACTTGCATCCCCTTGGCCTCAGTTTGTGGCACAGGGTCAGCCAGCAGCTGGTGCTCCATGAAATGTGTGCTCTAATTGGCTGAACTGGGAGGGTCCTGGCATGTTGCCCACAGGGACCCCCTAGGGGCCGGAAAGAGGCCTGGCCTGGATCAGGAGCCCATAGGGAGGGTGGACCTGTGTTAGGTAGGGTGGCAGCACCTTTGGCCACACGTGATGCCTGGCCCATGTTTCCACAGTGGAGAAGATCCGAGCCACCTTCACCATCCTCCGGGCCTTCGGCTCTGTATCAGCAGGCCACAGCCGCCACGCCACCCGGTTTGCCATGGTCATGTCACTGGACTTCAATGCCACAGGCCGAATCACGGCTGCTCAGCTGCAGGTGAGACCTCCAGTGGACAGGCAAGGGGGTTCCTTGGGACTTCAATGTCCCCAGCCCCACTCAGCAGAGCCCACGCCTCCAACTGGGCCCCTGGGATGTGTCTGGAGTGGTCACCGATCCCTTAGTCGTGACCAGTTCCACCCCACCTGGCTCAGTGCCCTGGAACATCCTCTCCTGGAGCAAGGCAGCCCGTCTGTGCTTCGGACCATCTCAGGAATGAAATATTCATGAGTAAATATATAATTCAGCCGCTCATTAGCTGGGTCTTAAAAGCGTAAGCTGAAATCAAACAGACACCCGCCAGCCTTCTGTGGCAGTCCATGTGTGACGAGCACATGGCCTGTTTGTTCCCATCTCCAAAATCATCCAAGCCCCTCCCTAGTCCCCCTGAAACATTCTGTTTGAACAGAAAATAGGATTAGGTTATTAGAAGGACTGTTTGTACGTGGAACGGGGGTAATATCCGGGCACAAGGAAAACTCTTCTGTGCCAAATAAGTCCCTTTGCTGTCCTGCCTCCTAAAATCCTACCACTAATCACCATTTGCGTCAAAGCATTGAAAGTTTAGGTGAAAAAAGGGATGTGGGGGCAGGTGGCCCCATTTGATTTTTACTCCCTTTTGATCCCTTAATTGGAAGGAGCCTGTTGCATGAGTTGATTTCCTAGCTGGACCCTGAATTAGAGAGACAGCAGGCTGGGGAGTTTCCCTATGAACAGTTTTCCTATGCCAGCAGTTTTTGGACTTGAGATGTTTCCTCAAGGACAGTGTCAGAGTGGGCACCCTCACAGGCCTCTGGCAAGCTGGGCACCAGCTGTGGACAGATGTACCCACAGCCCTGACCAGGCGCCCCTGCTCTTTCCCCGCAGACAATGCTTTTAGAGAAGAGCCGTGTGGCACGGCAGCCAGAAGGGGAAGGCAACTTCCAGGTTTTCTCCCAGATGCTAGCGGGTTTGGACCTGGATCTCAGGTGAGTGCCTGGGGGAGGGGCTGGGGGCAGTGCCAACAAAGGGCACATGCTCTTTAGAGGCACAGCCCAGTCTTAGCTTCTGCCCAGAGCAGAGAAACCATGGGGGTAGGAATATGCCCCCCAATTCTAGCTGCCCGGGTACATGCTGCTTGTGGGCTAGGTGGCCTTGTTCCCACGTCATCCCCTCTGATCCTCAGTCTCTTCCTCTGTAAAGTGGAAACAATACTTTGAATAAACCTTGTAGGATTAAGTGAGATGATCCATGTTCAACTCTTTGTAAATGTGTGTATGTGGATGGCTGGAGGCTGTCTGCTGTGATAGTAGCATGTCAGTATTGGGCTGGCAGCAGAGGTGTGAGGAGCGGGCAAAGAACAGCAGACCCCAAATCTTCCAGAAGTTTTTAAACTTTGTAGAGCCTTGGGTTCCTACAAGGGTATATCCACGTGGTGCGCCCCAGGGTGGACTGGGAGCTGGGTGGAGCCTCATCCCGGAGGGCTGCCTGTTGGAGGGGGCCGGGATTCGTCTCTGTCTTCTCAGGCTCTAAGGGCAGCAGTCCTGGGCATGTGGCTTCCTTTCCCTGAGCCTCAGTTTCCTCATTTATGAATGAACAGGCAAAGTTCTACTGAACCTCCAGGGAGAGGAAACAGCTGGGGTTTCCCAGGCAAGCGGGGATAGATTTGTGGTTTGTCCCTGCCCAGCCCCCATTGTTTATTTTCTCCTACCTCCCCGCCTCCATCTGAAGGGAACGATTAACCTGTCCTGACCAGCCTGGCTAAGGTTAGGGCACAACTGTACCTTGAGAAGAGAAGGAAGATTAGTGGGATCTCCCAGTTTTCAGTATGAAGTAACTGAGCAGCAGAAGCTTCTAGAAAGTCTTCAGAACCTGTAGGAGGACTTGAAGTAGGACGGGTAGCATAGCAGAGAGGCTAGGCCCACAAACTCTAGGGCCAGGCTGCGTGGATGTGCATCCTGGCCTCTCTACTTGCTGGCTGTGTAACCTTGAGCTAGAGACTTCGCCTCTCTGAGCCTCACTTTCCTCATCTGTAAGATGCATGTGATTTTGTCTACCTCTGGGCATTGTAGTAAGAATTAAAAGTGAATAGTTAACAGTGCTCAGAATAGTGCTGAATGCAGTGAGTGCTTTGTGTGCGTATGCTTTTTTGGGAGGATATTATCTGCCCCCCGTAGGCCTTGACCGTGTGTGTGCTGGAAAGGAACAACTTTGAAGGCAGAGGGGATGTGGGTTTGATCTTGGCTTTGCTCCATGTGGGCCTCTCTAAGCCTTGGTTTCTCCTTCTGTAGAATGGGTATCTACTATTGCCAATGCTGTGGGCATTTAAATGAGAACACATCGAGGCAACATGTGCCCTGCACACTGTGTGGTGGGGCTGTGACATGGGAGGTGTGGACTCTGATCACAGGAGCTTGAATCTTACTTTCCAGTCCTATGGTCTCACTTCTTGGGGCCTCCATTTGCTCACCCCTCAGAGCCCTGAAGACCATGTACCTCTCCCTGTTCTATCCCTAGAACCCTGCACTGGGGTCATCTCTTCTATACCTTGGGTAGGACTTGGGTCTGGGCCTGGAGCCATAGCCTGCTGGAGAAGGGGGTCAGCCTGGGTGAGCCCAGGGAGGATGGGGCTGGGCTGCTGCCCAGAGGATGCCTGGCCAAGTTCTGGGGGACTCTTAGTGGTGATGGGCCTAGCCTAGGTGAGTTTGGCCTCCTTAAAACCTGACCAAAGCTACCTCTGAGAGGAAGGGGCTGCCCCAGATGAGTTTCAGGGACCTCAGGAGAATAAAGTGCTTGGAGCAATTCAGACTCCTCAGGAACCATGATCATTCTGGGGAGCCCTCTGGTCAACCTCCAGTTATCTTTTTTTTTCTACCTCTGCTGCAGCCAGGCTAGTCCCTCATCTATGTGGGAGCTTCCAAAGGGCAAAAGTTGGTTGCCACTTCAACAAATGTCTCTTTTTTCTCCCAAGCACTCATATGGCAAACTCCTATTCATCCTTCAAAACCCTATTCCAAATCTCTTGTAATTAGAAGAGTGCTGCCCAAATCTTGCATCTCAAGCCAAGGTGTATGTGTCTCTCTTCCTTGCCAGATTATCTGCAAGATCTTTGAATCAGGGGCCCTGCCTTCCTCTTCTCTGCCTTCCTAGTACCTAGTTTAGGGATTGGCACTGGGTAGATGCTTTGTATTTATTTGTTGGTTTGATTTTACAAGTAATAGAAGAGAGTGTGGGGGAAATATAGAATACTTACTCTGTGCCAGGCTGGTAGCATGAGTTTATATACAATATCTCATTTAATTCTGTGAGGCAAGTAGTAGAATGCCCATTTTACAGGCAAGGAAAAGTAAGCCTCAGAGAAGAGGAATACCTTGGATGCTAAGGGGCAGAGCTGGGATTGGACTCAAAGCTTATCCAATAAGGGCCCTTTAAGGATATGAGGTGGAGGAGAGAGGTGTGGGGTCTATAAAGAACTAAGGGAGGGGACACAGAAGGACCCAGAACTGGCTGGGAGTGGGCTGAGAGGCAGGACAGCACAGAGGTCAGGACTCTTGGGGCCAGAAGACCTCAGCCCAAGTCCTGGCTATGCATTTGCTAGCTTGGACCCATTACTAAATCTCAGTGTTTTTGTTTTTCTATCTCCAAAATGAGAATAATATCTGCACCTATTGAATGAGGTTGTCATGAGTAATCTTAGAACTTGGCATACAGCAAGGGCTTATTCATGTTGAGTAAAGTCCCTTAGCTGAAAAGAAGAAGACCTGGAATTAGAACCTGCTCCCCTGGTTTTGCTCCATAACTCTTTTAGGGTGTCCTGGCTCTTAGGAATTGTCAAGTAAAGGCAGCAAATGAAAAATATTTGGGAGATAGGAGATACCCCTGGAAGACCTGGTGGGACCAAGGCATCAGACAGCCATTGGGGCTGCCTGGGTCCTTGCATGAAGCCCCACACTGTGGTGACCACCTGCCCTGCCAGGCCACTGATGTGGGTCCCTTTTCTGCTTCTAGGACAGAGCTGTACCTGCATCAGATGGCGGACAGCAGCTCCTTTGGCATGGGTGTGTGGTCCAAGGTAAGGGGAGGTCCTTTAGGGCTGGGATATGAGTCAGTGTCCCTTGGACCAGGATGGGAGGGTGATGGAGGGATCCCCAGTGTCATTTGTCTGCTTTGGCACTGGTGTACATGGTTGGCAGAGGCTGGTCATGTGGGAGAGTCAGGGACCGCCTTTCACAGGGTCTGTGCTTGTTAGGGGAAAGGAAGAGTTATGCAAATGAAAGGAACCAAGAGGTGAGGTGTACGCATAAGTGAGAACAGAGGCCCTGGAGTCAGAATTTCTGGGTTCAAAGTTTGGCTTTGACACTTATTAGATATGTGACCTCAGGCATGGAACATAACCTCTCTGAGAATGAACTGAATGAAATGAAATGATGTGTGTGAAGTGCTTAGCACAGGGCTTGGCCTGAATCAATCAATGGCATACTCTCCGTGAATGCTATTGATAACTGATGTGGGTAAGTACAGTTAGAGATGGTTTCCTGATGAATGTGATCTGTGAGTGGGGCCTTGAGAGGTGGGTATTCAGTTACTTAAAAAAGCAAATGATTTGCTTGTTTGATATTTTACTCATTGGTTTATGTTTTAACAATTGTTTTCTGAGTCCCCCTTTTCCTCAACCACTTCTACCACTATCTGTACCAGGCAGCCCTGTGCTAAATGCTAGGATTATGGTCTTCGTCTGTGAAATTTTACTCTAGCAGGAGAAACAAACATGGAAATAAACACAATAACATAAGAGAAGAACATGCCAAGAGGTGTTCAAGATATTGAAAGGATTATTTGGCCTCAATTGGGAAAGACTTCTTAGCCTAGGGGACATTTGACCTGGGTTTTGAAGGGTGAAAAGGAGTTCACTAGGTAGAAGAGGTTAGATGATTTCTACTCAGAAGCTTCTTTCCAAACATACATGTGTGGGCACCAAATGGTGTTAGAAATTTGAAATTCTCATTTAACAAACAAACAAATAAATTTAAACCCATACCTCATATACAAAGATTAACAACAAAAAAGGTATCATAGACCTAAATGTAAAACTTAAAGCTATAACATTTCTAGAAGAAAACAGGAGAAGAATCAATGTTTCTTTAATGGGACATGTGACGTCAAAAGCACAGTGCATAAAGGAAAAAAATTGATTTCATCAAAATTGAAAATTTCTGCTCTTTGAAAGACTCTGTTAATGTGAAAAGGCAAGCCAGTCTCTGAAAATAGTTGCAAATCATATATCTGATAAAGGATTTGAATCTAGAATATAAAAATAACTCTCAAAATTCATAAGTAAGACAACCTGAAAAACAGATGGGCAAAAGATTGAGCACACACTTCACCAAAGGAGATAAATACACAACAAATACGGATGTGAAAATGTCCTCAACAAAGTTGTTAAAGAAATGACAGTCAGACCACTGAGATGTTGTGAGATACTGTGACACAATCACCAGAATGGTTAAATTGGAAAGGTGTGCTGGTGAGAGTTTGGTGTACCTGACACTCTCAGACATTGCTGCTGGGATTATAAAATAGTACAACCATTTTGAACAACAAAATGGTTTCCTCACCTGTGATCGAGTTTGACAGTTACTTGAAGAAGCTAGACATACACCTTTTATGTGACATACCATTCTACTCCAGATATTTACGCAGAAGAATGAAAGTGTGTGCTCATATAAACATCTTACAGGAAAATTCATAGCAGTGTGGTTATAGCCCAAAGCTGGGAACCACCCAAATGTTTATCACTGGGTGAATGAGTACTATGCTGTGGTATATCCATACAATGGAATACTACTCAGTAATAAAAAGGAATGAGCTACTTACATATCCAAGAACATGGATGGTTCTTAAAATAATTATGCTGAGCGACAAGCCCCAGATGAAAGTAGAATTATGTGATTCCATGCATGGGATCATGAAAATGTACCCTAATCTATAGTAACAGAAGGCAGGTTAATGGTCACTTGGGGAGGGAGAGGGGGCAAGAGGCGGGCAAGAAAAGATTACAAAAGGGAACTTGTGGGCGTGGATATGTTCATTGTCTTTATTGTAATGATGGTTTCATGGAGCTACGTCAAAACTTAGATCTAATTTTACATTTTAAAGGTGAACAATGTATCCTTTGCCAATTATATCTTAAGAAAGCTCATAGACACACACACACACATATACACACACTACACATACACCATTATGCATTGTGGGATATTATCCACAGAGTGTCCAATTTAGTTTGTGAGAGGTGGGGTCCAAGAACTTGCATTTCTCCCAAGTTCCCAGGTAATGCTGATGCTACTGGTCTGAGGACCCCATTTTGAGAACCATTATAGTGGACTCTATTTCTACTGTGGGTGGGAGGATGAGGCTCCCTCATCTTTAAATCCTGGGGGGAGCTAAACTACTTTTCACTGTCTGATACCCCTCTTTATTGAGAGGAGACCTTGTGGTACATTCATCTTTTGTATTTTTTCCCCATGACTAGTGGGCATCAGGTGCCCCAGACCTTGGCCTTGAAGGCCAAGGATGAGAAATTCTTTTAGCACTTAAGTTTTCAGATTCATTTAATGAGTTTTGGCCAAGTATATTCATTTGAATCAGCAAGGCAGTTGTTTGTTTTCCTGTTGTTTATGAGGAGGAAAAAGGGCCCAAGCTGGGCCCCTGCAAGCTCTCCCCAGCCTGACCTGTTTGTTAACAGTCTGCATAAAGGAATCAGTCACAGTGTGAATTCGTGTCAAGAAAGCATTTGAAGTGGTTTTCTTTTTTTCCCTGTGTTTCTGTGGGGCAGTTTTTTTTAGACCAATTGATTTGCAGGAACTGGTAGGGTGTTCCTTTGTTCTCTCTTTGCTACCTGAAAGGTATCAAGGGAATGTTTTCTCTGTTCTTAAAGAAGAAAAATAAAGTCTGAAAACTCCTTGGCCCCTGATACAAATTTGGGCTTGTTTCTAGGGTTGGGTAGTTCAGCTGCAGTCTCATTAAGGGACTGGGTTGGTCGGGAAATGACCCCCAAGAATGGGAGTTGTTAAGTATGAGTCCCAAGGTTCTCAGATTTAGCAAAAAATAATATAGGATGCCCAAGTTAAATTTGAATTTCTGACAAACATCAAATAATGTTTTAGTATAAGTATGTCCTGAATGTTGCATGTGGTTAAGCCTGAAGTGTTGGGGACATATCAGGGAAGGCTGCCTGGGGGAGGCAACCAGTGGCTGGTCCTGGAAGGAGAATGAAATTAGATGCAGTGAGGCCAGTATGATTGCTCTGCCAAATATTGCAGGAGGGGATACTAATGTAATAAAAAATCTGATCCATTGTTTATCTGAAATTGCAATTTTACTGGATGGTCCTGCATTTTATTTGGCAATTCTGCAGCCCAACTTCACCCTTTGCTGAACCCTCTTCCTCATCTTCCTGCTCCTCCTTCTAGCCAGTACCCCTAACTATGATGAGTTTTGTTTCTATTTCATTTGTAGCAATCAGTTCCATCATCTGCTGAAAATTCACAGATGAATGTGAATAGCCAGATTCAATTCCCAATGCCAGCACTGAAGCTGTGTGTGTAGTCTTAAGCAAATGACTTCATCTCCATGGGACCCAATTTCCTCATTTGTAAAACTGGAGTACTAGGAGCCACCTCAGCCCCTAATTAAATAAGATAAAGCCAGTAGAATACTTGGACAGTGCCTGACACTCAACCAATGCCAGCTTTTGTTATTATTATTATTCAGTATTATCATGGATGGCAGCATTGGACAAGCTGGGTAGAGTAAGCCTTCAGTGTCTCCCACTGAAGGGGAGGCCTTGGCTTGTTCCCAACAGTAAAGCAGCCTGTGCACACAGGCCCCAATCCATGCTCCTTGGTAGTACGTGCCATGTTTTTTCTCTTACTGGCTTTATCTCTATTCTCCCCTAATTTATATTTTTAATGAAACATCCTGTTTTTAAAAAATTAAATAAATACATACTTGTGGAAAAATCAGAGAAAAAGAACATAAAGGCAAAATAAAACTCAACACACACACACACACAGAGACACACACACAGTTATACAAAGCAGAAACAAGTGCTAATAACTTCCCCAACCAGAGAAATCCACTGGTAACACTTCCACCCATGTTCTGTCAGCATTTTCCTATGAATATTTTGCATAGTTCATCACTTAACTGTATCTTGTTAAAACTTTCATAAATGATATTTTTAATGACCATTCATGGAGGAATCGTGATTCCCTGAACTGTTTCTCTAATGTCCTTTATGTAGTTTTTAACCTTTTCATGGCTCTTAATAACAAGGTGATAAATATCTTTGGGCATCCATCTTTAGGCCACAGTGCCTGCATCAATGTCTCAGGCTCCCAGCCCTCCATAGAAGGAGATGCCTCCTATTCTTGTCCTTTCTATTGTCTCCTTGGTAACAGTCTCTAACAGCGATCGCACTATCTGCTCACCTACAGTCTAAGTCTCATGAGGTTGGGGGTCTTCTATATCTTGTTCACTGACAAGACAAAGCCAAGCACTCTCCCAGCACACAACAGGTGCTCAGTAAATGCTTGTTGAGTGAATAAATGAATGAGCATGCCCAATTCATCACAACTCTACTGATCACATCTTTTCAATTTTTGGAGCCTTTGCTAGTGTAGACGACAGAGCTATGGGTGGATCCCCACTGGATCATTTCACTCAGGTCTTTGGGGATCTTGTATCTTCCTTTAGACCCACTGCCTAGGTCCTGGGAGTTATAGTGGTTGCTGGGACTCTCAGGTGACCCAGAGAAAGGGATTGGGAAGATCTAGGCTCCCACGTGTCAGCTAACCTAGGCCACTGGAATCCTCAAATCTGGGATGAGTTCCACTGTGGACCCACCTCAGTGGGTGGACACACTCTTTCCCACCATCTGTGGTTCTTATTTGGGGACACTCACTGGCACTCAGCAACAGATATTGATTGCTCTTACTAGATGCCAGGTACCAGCATGCAGAGTAACTCAGTTGGGTCTCTGTCATCAGATAGCTCGTGTGTGGGGGATAGATTAGAAGCAGAAGGGCTATGTGCATCAATGAAGGTCCCTATAGGCTGAGGCCAGCTGGGAGGGGTAGAGGCATATCAGGGGAGGCTGCCTGGAGAAAGTGACTGGGAGCTAGAACTGAACTGAGAGTGAATGATATGGGTCCAGCGAGGCCAGTGTCCTTGCTGCACTGAGCATTGGGTGTGAAGGTCAAGGTTAGAGGTTAACTAGGCAGGGCCCCAGGGTGAAGTACAGAGACCCCAGTGTGATGCTGGCTGGGCCCTGGATGGCCACCTCCACCCACTGGCTGCCACTGCCACCTCAGTCCTTGCTCCGTGCCCTCACCACCTGCCACATTTTAGCTTTTAAGTGAAGCTTATTGGAGATCTGCTGAGCACCAGGACACATTTGAAATCACAAAGCTTTCACATTATTTTCTTCTTCTCTGTAATTTGTTTTTTCTGCAACTTAGCCTGGTATTTTTTTAAGTGCCTGGCAGCAGCAGTAATAATAATAATAATCCTTGCCTCGCAGCAGTTTGCTTCTGGCTGTTACCTTCCAGGCTTGAGCCCGAGGTGCATTTATTTCTTATGACCCAGTTGTCAACTGCAGAGGAACATCTCCAAAGGGCAGGATGGGGGATCACTCACACGTGCAGGGGCCCTGTCAGGAGCTTTCCCCTGCTTACTCCTCCTGAGGACCCTTTGAGGTAAGGAACTATGATCGCATCTGTTTTTCAACAGCAGCCAGGCTCAGAGGGGTGAAGCTGCTTTGGCCAAGGGCCCAGAGCTTTTAGGTAGCAGAGGCAGAACTGGTTCTAAGCTGGGCTGACTTCAAATTCGGGACTCTGTTCTTCCTACCCTGTCATCTTAGTCCTGCCTCATGGCTGAAGGCCCAGTGCTCTGGGGTCCAACCCACTGTCCACCCCTGATGCACTTAACCTCTCTCGGCCTTAGTTTTAGCACCTGGGGAATGGATAGGGCGCCCAGCTCCTCAAGTGACTCCAAGGATTGGGGGCTCAGGAGAGTGACATTTATTAATGCTGCCCCTCCTCAACTGGGTGGCTTTGGGCAAGTAACTCCATCTCTCTGAGACTCACTTTCCCTCTCTGTCAGTCAGAGGGACTCATGCCTGCCTCGGAAGGAAAAATCACAAGGACGACATTAGTATGTGCTCAGTTAATCCTTTCTTTCCTCCTGCACTTTCCCCAGTGCCCTGAAAGGAAGGGAATTGGTGAGATGTTGAATAAGGGACAGAGACACTTGGGAAAGAGCAGCACCCAGCCCTGGACAGATACTTTCCTGCCCTCCACAAGGGTGTCCACGAGGTTTGCCTGCCAGTGAAGTGATATTTGTTTTGCAAATGAATTATGTCTGTGTTCAGCATTTTCCTCCCAGAGCGGGCTCCATGTCCAGGAGGTGGAGGGATGGGAATCCCTGGGGCAGGTTGAAGGACAGGAGGTAATTTACATCCCCAGCAGTCAGAGTCAGACCCAGGCCTTTCTGAGGGCCCTATTGTGCTCATAACCAAGGCAGAGGTGGTCAAGGTGCCAGTTCCCTTTTCCAGAGAGGCCTCCAGTAGCTGCTGGCACCCCACGGCCCCTCCCTCTGCAAGAGAGGCCTGCACACCTGCCTGTCCGCAAGATTCTTAACACCCAAGTACACCATATTCCCCTAGCCTCCCTGCCCTTCTGTGTATAGACTCTTCCTGCCTCCCGGCACCCACTTCCTGGCTCATTCTGTTTGCGCGTCATGAATTGCTTCATACGCTGCTTCTTCCAAGAGCCTCGCATCCTTCTAGTCAGTTCCTTTGCCCTTGCTCAGAGGCCCCCAAGCCCTGGCATGCACTCTGTGTGCCATCATCTGTTTGCACACCTGTCCCCCTCAGTGGACTGGGAGCCCACCAAGTGCAGTGCTGTGACTGACTCACTTGCCATGGAGTGCTGGGCACAAACTTGGGCAGTAACGGGAAAGACATGCCTGGGAGGTGGAACGGCTTAGACGAAGGCACTAGAGACAGAGGCACTAGTGAGTGGAAACCATCTTTTACTGAGCACCACTGTGTGCCAGCTCCTGTGGTGCCTTCTTTATACGCATCGACTCATAGAGTCCCCACAACAGCCCTAGGAGGACAGCAGGATATTATTTCTGTTTAAAAAAGGAAAAGTGAAAATTGAGCTTCTATGCAAGGGCAGGAGACTTGTGCAGAGTCAGACCTTTGGGACTGCAGAGTCGAGAACTCTGTCTGATTCCAAATACAAGCCTGGCCTCTCTCTGCATTGCAAGAATCTCTTGGGTACTCTAAACTCAACCGTTTTAATATGGAGTGAACATTTTGGATTTTTTTTTTTCACTCAATTACCTGCAGACTTTGGTTGACCTTGAGACTGATTGCCTTGGAAAAACTCCAGGCATCTTGTAATTTGACTTTTTTTTTTCTTTTTCTCCACAGACTTTTTTTTAATTAAGGGAAAACATAAAGTGTATAAAGTACACTGATTTTAAGGGCACACTGCAATGATTTGGGCTGGAAGCTGACTTACGGCCTTCATTTGACTCATTTCAGTTTTCACAATTTTGATCTAAATAGTAACTTTTTTCAGGGTCTTACACAGAGGTGTCTGAAGAACCATTGGCTCTCTGGAAGCTTATGGAATTGTAAACTCCTTCACCATCCCCATCATTTTGAATCAGAAGCGTATATACTCGTTGATTCACGTCTTCTGTTCCAGAAGTGACAACGTAAGGGAGGGAGGTGAGGGAGAGGAGGAAGCAGAGGAGTTTCGGAGCGAGTTTTCTCATTCTCTTTATGTACTGAGTGGCGGATGATGCAGTCACCTGTAATTTAAAGTCAAATGCTCATAGCTGACGGTGGGAGCTGCGACAGAGCGTGGGCACTGTCCTTTCAGCGTCCTTTTCCTGCTACTTTGAAATCTCATAAATAACCCAGAGTATGTTGGTAAGACGCCTTCCTTCCCTGTGTTTGCTCCAGCTGCGGTTGCTAGGTTAAGCTTCTGGTTGCTAGGGATTTAATGGTCCTGTGGCGGCCCAGAAATAAGATGGATCAGTGGGACATGCTTTTGCTATTGACTGCGATGTTTCCACAGCAAATCTCTCAGTGTTGTTGCCTGCTTTGACATTGTCCCAATTGGTTGACGGTCCTTGTAAGTTTCCCAGTTAGAAGTGGCACGAATGGAGGGGACAAGAGGCTCGAACTGGGCGGTGGAAAGGCCTGCTTCTAGTCTTGTACTTGGTATTAATTTGCCTGAGCAAGTGTCTCCCCATCTCTGGGCACTGGATGCTACAGAATTCAAAGACCTGCTCTGACAGCCTCGAGTTCATCACCCAGGTTCTCTAAGCAGACCGAGTGCAGACCAGTTTCTTGTTATCTGCTGGTGGATTCTTGGCAAAAGAATCCCCGTGCCCTGCTCACTTCCGCCTTCCCCAGCAGGCTTCTGAGCGGAGCTTCCTTGGCCAGATGGTGTGTGCACAGTACTTTCGGAGTAATTTTAATATTCAATCAAACATAATTGGGATCATAAATCTTTTTAAAAAAACACAACAACAATCCTATAACCTATAAACATCTGATCATGTCATTTTCTCTTTCCTCCTGTGAAAATCTTTGGCAATTTCCCATTGCTACACTGGGGGTGGAAAACTAGTGTCATTTCAGTTACTGAGGCAGATCAGTTGGTGGTATCTGCACGAGGGCATGTCCTGAAAGGAATCTGGACTCACTTGGTTTGAGGTGGGATCTTGATTGATGAGTGATGTCTGCTGTGAGTGCAGGAATATTGGTGGATACATATCAGTACTGGCCAATCATGGCTAGGATGTAGAGGTCATGACCTTTAATATAATGCTTGAGGCCTTTAAGATTGGCCCCTGCCAGCTTCTCAAGCTTTATCTTCTCCTTTCTCTGTCTGACCCAACTCCAAAAATAATTGCTTCAATGGATCACCTGCTGTCTCCCCCAAATCCCCTTTGCTCGTGTAGTTCCTTCTGCTTGTAAGGACCTTTGTTACATTCAGCTGGTTAACTCTGCCTGTTTATCTTTCACACATCAATCACAATTTGTCTCATCTGCGCCATTTTCTTGGGCTCCCTTGAGTGGGATGAATTCCCATTCTCCCCCAATACCCCACAGTTCCCCGTGTAGATCTCTAGCCTGCCTTCCTTGTAGCCTGTCCACACTTAGTTGCTTTTATGTCTCCTTCCATTCCTACCTTGAGAGGGCCTCACGGTCACTGTTTTTTTTTATTTGCTCATCTTTGCATCCCCAGACCAGAGCTCAGCGCAGAGCAGAGGCCCCATGCCCCGCACTGAATGAACACTTGGAAGAGTAGAAACCACACTGCAGGCAAAGTCAGACAGAAATGATTTGATAACTGTCCTAGCAAACTGAGTTTGTTGGTCAACACCGTTCAGGTTAATTGGGGGAAATTTACTGTGGTAATAGAGCAGTGTTTTTCAATCTTTTTTTTTTTTTTTAAATCATATAGCACACTTGAACTTATAGTTTAATTTCTGCAGCACATTTAAATTATATTGATTTTTAAAAAAGACTAAAAAAAAGAATATACTTACTGTGCTTTGAATGTCTTTCAGAAATAATCAATGACCTTTAAAGTGTTTGGTGGTACACCTAATATCCTCTCCCAGCACACCAGCGAGTGTGCAGATGCGAGTGACTCTCACCCTCCCTACAGACGCAGCTTCAAGTTGTGAGTTTGCATGTCCTGCATTGTGATGGCCCCTTCTCTTTTCTCTCTCCCTCTGCTCCCAGCCTGAAGACAAGCAGAAGGCAGCAGCTGCCTTTGCCCAGCTCCAGGGTGCCATGGAGATACTGGACATCTCGGAGAGCGAGCGGAGGGCCATTTGGCGGGTGCTGGCAGCCATCTACCACCTCGGCGCGGCAGGGGCCTGCAAAGGTACGTTCTCCCCGCTGGCTCACGGGGGCTGCCAGCTGTCCCCTTTGGCAGGTGTCTGATAAGGCTCCTTTCCCGGTGTGACGGGAACAGGGTCAATCTGTCATCTTCTGTGTCTCGGGACTGCTCTTTGGGAGGCTGCTGAAACCAGGCATCGTAAGGAGGAAACAGGGCTGGAATTTTCAAAGAAACCTTCTAGGCTAGGTCAGTCCAGAAGAACTTCCTATAACAGAGATGGTCCCTTCCCTGCTGTCCAGTGTAGTAGCCACTAGCTGCCAGCAGCTATTAAACACTAGAAAAATAGTTAGTGCCACCGAGGAACTGAATTTTTAATTGTGTTTAATTCTAATTAATTTAAGCTTAAGCAGTCAGACATAGCTAGTGGCTCCTACACCAGGCAGAACAACTCTAGAATATGCCAGAGACAGATAGGCCCCTTGGTCGGCTTCTGCAAACTCCAAAAGAGAGTCTTTCTGTAGGTATTTCTGGGCAAAGCTAAGTTCTTATTTTCAGCATGAGTTTCTGAGTGTAGAGACTAAGTCGATATCTCTTGACCATATCAGCATTAAAGAGTCACCCCATAGAAGCAGAAGTCTGAAAATAGTGCAGACAGGGGCCAGGAAACCATTCATTTCTTATTTCATACTAAGTTTAGCCAAGGACTTCAGAAACATTGTCTTTATTAAACCTTTTCACAAGTGTCCAAGTGTCCCCTCAATCTCTGAGATGAGGCAACATCAACATAGTCCCAGACCTGTGCTGGGCAGGTGCGTGGGGGATAGGAGAGGCTATATGGGTAGTGTTCCTTTGTGTTGATTTTGCCATTTTGTTTGGAGAGATGAGTCTTCTAAACTTGAGACCATCTAGTTGTGGAGGGCGCCTGTAGTCTCAGCTACTTGGGAGGCTGAGGCAAGAGAATGGCTTAAGCCCAAGAGTTTGAGGTTGCTGTGAGCTGTGAAGCCACAGCACTCTACTGAGGGCAACATAGTGAGACTTGTCTCAAAAAAAAAAAGCTAAACTTGAGACCATCATCCAGCTTTGTTAACTGACCAAGGGAGGAGGGTAGACAGGGTAGCTCAGACCAGGAAAGGTGTGAAGGCTCAGGGTTGGCACACAGACACCAGTGGGCTCAGGACATGTGGAAAGAAGCAAACACATTTTACAGAGTAGGAAACCGAGACTGAGAAGGGCTAGGTGTCATAAAGTGCAGGTGTGGACTCACGAGTGAGACAGATTTGAGTTAAAAATGGAACTTCTCTCAGATGTAGCGGCCTCGTCTTTTGATGGGCTGAGAGTAGGTTCCAAGTAAGGATTAAACGTAATAAGGATGAGGAAGCTGACGTAGGCTGTGCTCCTCCAGAAGCAGACCTGACACAAAGCTTTGGGGACGTGTGTTATTTGGGGCTGGGGAGTGGCGGGGAGGCAGGTGTGTTTAGGAGCAGCTTACCTGGGCAGCAGAGGCTGGGCCCACTGGGACCTCGGGGAGACTCCGAGAAACCTGCCTGCTGGTTGTCTTCCCAAGAGGCGAAGGCAAGGAAGCCGGATAGTTATCCAGGGACTCAGGAACCCCGTGGACTGCTGACCGGTCAGCAGAGAAGCGAAGAGCTCAGTGAGATGCTGAGTTTCTCCTCCCCAGGGCAGAGCGTCAGGGTTCCCTCTGCTGTGGACTCAGACCTAACCCATGCCTGTAAATGCCTATGATGATGAAGGAGAAAATCACTTTTATAAATATTTTATTAATATGTGATTATGGCAATAATTTCTCCCACCCCAACACCCCACCTTATAAATTATTTTAAGAAGAGCTGCCGTCAGTCTGCCTAGGAGGCCTGCCTGGTGATTTACTTACTATATATTCAGCTTTGGAAGATTTCATAATAGGATGCTCTAAAACCAGCTATTAAGAATTTCAAAGTCGTATATAAATGTCTTTGCTTTGTGTCATAACAGATCATTTTGAAATATATTAAGAATCATTTTCATTAATCAAGGTTTTTTTTCTTATTAAAATTATACTCTCTTCCTGGTGTGCCTGGCTTTCTAACTTATTCTGAGAGCTCTGAGCCTATTTTTGAAAATCAATAACAGTCACTGTGGAGAGATTTTGGTGTCTTATAACTGGACTTGGGGTTTTTGAACTGTCATCACAGTGATAGTCACCACAATATTGGGTTGGGTGTTTGATAATTGCACAAGCACTTATATTTCTATTATGCCTTTTTTTTTTTTTGCAGTTTTTGGCCAGGCCTGGGTTTGAACCCGCCACCTCTGGCATATGGGACCAGTGCCCTATTCCTTTGAGCCACAGATGCCACCCTTCTATTACACTTTTTGATCTCATTAGGCTCATGAACTAATCTAGTGAGGAAAAATGTGCCACTGGCAAAAGTCAGGCGTCAGCCTGCTGGAGACAACCTCTGTGAGTCTGTTTCCTCCTCTGTGAAACTGATGTGGGCTGCTGCTGACTACCACTTTGTAGGTGTGTTATGCGGATTAAATGTGTCAATGCCCCAAACTGTGGAGCCCAGGACTTGGCTCCCGACAGAGGGCTTCATAAGTGTTTACTTTTATCCATTCCCATTTTACAGACAAGCAAATGCAGGCACAGAGAAGGAGTGTCACTTACCTGGTATCACACAGCCAGCAGGATCCAGAGTGAACTTCTGGCCATTCTCGTTTTCCCCATGATGAGTGCTTGCAGCTCTGACTGTGCCCCTGCCTCCTTAGAACAGCCTGGGAGGGGTGAGAATGATGCTGATTTTACCAAAGAATAAACTGATGCCCACCAGAGAGTCTCATCCTTGTTCCTCAGGACACATAGATAAAGCCAAAGAAGATATTTGGGACTTTGGTCTGTCTGAGCCGGCCCCATACCTTGTGCTGCCACCTCCCCCAGCAGGTCTACAACTCAACTCAGTTCTGACACTGACTGTCTGGAGCTGTTAATGGCTTAGACCATGCAGGTCAAGGGCTCAGTCCCATATGACTGACCCCGTGTCAGACACCTGCTGTAAGCACTGGGCCTCCTGGACTTCTAAGAGACTGACGGTAAAGCCGAGGCTTCCTATGCCCCTGACCTCCAGTTTGATAATTCACTCGAATGACTCCTGGGACTCAGGAAAGCCCTTTGCCTACTTCTGCTAGTTTGTAAGGGCTACAACTCAGAAAGAGCCAGATGGGAGAGATGCACAGGGTATGATACAGGGAGGGGACCCAGAGCTTCCTGCCCTCTCTGTGAGTGACACCCTCCCAGCACTCTGATGTGTTGGAAGCTCATGTAACCCCATCATTTAGGGGTGTTTTGGAGGTTCCCTAATGCAGGCATGACTGATCAAATCATCATCCAGTGGTGACTCACTCAGTCTCCAGCTCCTCTCTCCTCACTAGAGGTTGATAGCCCCTAACCCCATGCTGTGGTCCTTCTGCTGACCAGTCCCAACCTGAAGCTTCCACAGCCACCAGTCATCTCCTTAGTTTACCTAAGACATTCTCAGGTCTCTGGCGATTCTGAAGGGGTTTAGTAACCATGAGCCAGGAATTGGGGATGAAGACTGAATATATATTTATCACAGGGCTGTGGCCTCCACCCAGTGGCCTCATGGGGACGTAAAGCATTGATCCTCAGTGTCTTAAGTCAACCAGATTGGGGACAGGGCAGCCAGTGTGATGAGACCTGAACCCAGGGCACTGACCAGGTGGAGAGTTTTCATTTAGATAGCCGAACTCTTGCACCACTCTGGGCACTATCACTTCCTCTTTCTCTTCTGGAAACTTCCATCTCCTTTTTAAATTTTTTCCACCAGTCCTTGTTCGGTCCTTAAGAGGGCCCTGGAAACAAGCAGGGTGGTCCCCATCTGGTGAGGGCCAAGGCTCAGGTCACATGTGGTCCCTGTCCAGTTTGGCTTCTAAGACCCCTGCAGCAACTTTGTGGGGCCCTCCTAAGCCTTTTCCTTTGGGGTTAATGTTGCATCACCCCGCCCCGAAGTTCCCACGAAGTACCTGCAGTTCTGCGAGGTTCTACCACCACCTCTTTCCCCGTCCCGTTGGTTCTTCCAATGCAATGCAGTGTCCTGTATTGTAGGAGGCCGTTCTCTGCCTTCCCTGGGGCAGCTGGCAGGCTGCCTACAGGGGCTCTGGGTCACCTCGTCACCAGCCAAGTGCCCTGGGCAGGCTGAGAGTCAGAGAAGACACCTCTGTTTGGGATGAGGCAGATAAAAGGGCAGGGGTGCTTTGGAGTCAGCTGGTTCTAGGTTCCAATCTCCACTTGGCCTTTTATTAGCCGGGTGTGATCTGGGTCAAGCTGCATAACTTGCCGGAACTTGATCTGTAAAAGGGAGGCGTGGCAGCATTGAGCCACCCAAGGTCACAATGCTAATAAGCAAGGGAGGCTGGACTTTTGGTACAGTAGCTCTTCTAAGATGTAATTCACATACTGCACAATTCGCCCATTTAGAGTAAACAGTTCAGTTTTTAGTATGTTCAGTTCAGTTTTTAGTATGTTTTCAAATATAGGCAACCATCTCCATAGTCAGTTTTAGTCAAATTTAGCACATTTTCATCATCTTAAAAAGGGGCCTTATAGCTTTTAGCTGTCACCCCCTAAATTCCTCATCCTTAAGCAATGAGGGTGCTGAGCCAGGCTGTTCCCAAGCTGGGACCTGAGCTCATGCCTGTCTGGCTCCAAGGGTACCTTGTTTCACCTCGGCCTGCAAAGGGGCATCCTTCATGGTCAGATGACAAGAGGCCCCTGTTGGGGCACGGTTGGATTGGGTCGTGGTCAGGAAAAGGTCGCCTACAGGTATATTCATGGAGCCACACCTGGGAGCCATAGAGCTGTCTCCGGTGTCCTTGCTTCTGACCACCTCGCCCAACTGGGCTTGGTCTCTGTTCTAGAAGTTTGCTGCCCAGCTGGACTCCCACTTCCTCTCTTGTCTTCCTCCCTGCTCTGGTCTGTCCAGTCAGAGGGAACTTTTCAACTTCCATGTCTGATTGGGTCACTTCAG